ATTTAAAGAAGAAATCCGCGACGTCCTCAAGGAGCAAGTACAAAAACCCCCTAAGCGAGTAATTAACATTTTTACAGAACTTTTGAAATCTCAAAGGTTGATCGGTTCAAACTGCAAGTTATCTTAGATACGGCTGCAACATCATATTGTGCCAGTATAAAAGACCTTCCGAAAGGTGTATATGAGGAATTAAATTACCAGGTTCATTTCAGTGGTGTAAATTCGACGACACAATCTGGTATGAGGATAAAAGATGAAAAAATGTTTATTTCTGAAAATAATTGTAGAATTCCTCTAATTTATTGTATGGAAATAGAGGTCAAAGATGGTATTCAGATGCTCTTAGGTTGCAACTTCATTAGGAGCATGCAAGGTGGCATGCGAATTAAAGGGAACATGATAACATTTTACAAAGAAATAACACATGTTCCAACAGCAACAAATGTAGAAATCATAACAAAACAAATACCTGAGCTTGATATGGACTATGATTTTTATACTGAATTGCAACCTGAATTTTTCTATTCAAATGTTACTAATGATAATCCTCTTGTTAAAAGGTTCAGTTCAATTTTTAAAAGTTTACAAAACAACGTGTACATTGGTGACAACCCGCAAAAACATTGGGCCAAAAATCAAGTGACGTGCAAAATTGAAATCATTAATTCTGATCTGACAATTCAGGATAAACCACTGAAACACGTCACACCAACCATGCAAGATCAGTTTAAAAGACATATTGACAGCCTGATGAAGCTCAAAGTGATAAGGCTTAGTAAGAGTAGACATCGAACTATGACTATTATCGTCAATTGAGATGCATCAATCGATCCCAAAACTGATAAAAAAATACGAGGGAAAGAAATACTCGTATTTAATTATCGGTCCTTAAACGATAATACGCACAAGGACCAATACTCATTACCTGGTATAAATACTTTGTTAAAAAGAATCAGTAGAAGCCAAATGTATTCAAAATTTGATTTGAAAAACGGCTTCCACCAGGTAGCGATGCATCCTTAGTCCATTGAATGGACTGTATTTGTTGCGCCCACTGGGCTTTATGAGTGGCTTGTTATGCTATTCGGGCTAAAAAATACAACCTCAATTTTTCAAAGAAAAATGAATTTTTGTTTCAGGGATTGTAGAGAATTCTTAGTTGTATATATTGATGACATAATTATTTTTAGTGAAAGCGAATCTGACCAAAAGAAACATTTGAATAAATTCCTTACTAATGTTGAAGCTGAAAAACTGGTTCTCTCTCCCACGAAGATGAAAATAGCGGTATCTGAAATTGAATTTGTTGGAGAAATCATCGAAAAAAAGAAAATCAAGCTACAACCTCACATAATAAGAAAAATTACAGATTTTTCAGATGAAAAATTAAAGAAGAAACAAAACATGTGTTCTTGGTTAGGAATTTTAAATTACTCAAGAAATTATATTCCTAATCTTGGAACTTTATTAGGTGCTTGTATGGCTGTTTGTTGAATTTCTTCCTCAGACACATTTCTTGCTTTTCCTTTAATTTTTCATCCGGAAAATCTGCAATTTTTCTTATGATGTGAGGTTGTAGCTTGATTTTCCTTTTTCCAATGATTGCTCCGAGAAATTCAATTTCAGATACCGCTATTTTCATCTTCGTGGGAGAGAGAACCAGTCCTTCGACTTCAACAATAGTAAGAAATTTCTCCAAATGTTTCCTGTGGTCAGATTCACTTTCACTAAAAATAATTATATCATCAATATATACAGCTAAGAATTCTGTACAATCCCTGAAACAAAAATTCATTTTTCTTTGAAAAATTGCGGGCTCATTCTTTAGCCCGAATGACATAACAAGCCACTCATAAAGCCTCGTGGGCCCAACAAATGCAGTCTATTCAATGGACTCGGGATGCATCGCTACCTGGTGAAAGTCGCTTTTCAAATCAAATTTTGAATATATTTGGCTTCTACTGATTCTTTTTAACAAAGTATTTATACTAAGTAATGAGTACTGATCCTTGTGCGTATTATCGTTTAAGGACCGATAATTAAGTACGAGTCTTTCTTTCCCTCGTATTTTTTTACCAGTTTTGGGATCGATTGATGTACCTCAGTTGACGATAATAGCCATAAGATGGTTATAAAGGATAAATCAGAAGGACTGGTTATATGCACCTTTAACAGCAGGCATTGAAAAGCGGCTGAAATCAATAATTGAGACAATTATTTTTAGTGAAAGCGAATCTGACCACATGAAACATTTGGAGAAATTCCTTGCTATTGTTGAAGCCGAAGAACTGGTTCTCTCTCCCACGAAGATGAAAATAGCGGTATCTGAAATTGAATTTCTCGGAGCAATCATCGGAAAAAGGAAAATCAAGCTACAACCTCACATCATAAGAAAAATTGCATATTTTCCGGAAGAGAAATTAAAGAAAAAACAAGGCATGCGTTCTGGGATCGATTGATGTGTCAGTTTTAGTATTATCCTCTTTATATTTCTTTACCAGTTTTGGGATCGATTGATGTACCTGAGTTAACGATAATAACCATAGCTCGATGTCTACTCTTACTAGGCCTTATCACTTTGAGCTCCATCAGACTGTCAATATGTCTTTTAAACTGGTTTCGCATGGCTGGTGTGACCTTATCCTGAATTGTCAGATCAGGATTAATGAAGCAATACGAAATTCAACAGAGGAATTACTCAAAAAGTAATAAAACTGTTGAAGATTCTTTAATTGATTTACAAAACCGTCTTCAATCTTTATTCCTTGGTGAGTCATCTCAACCACATTTCCCGTCCTAGAGGTAAGCTTTTTGTTTACCAAAATCCAAAGACGATCTTTCTCCAAGAAAAACAAAAACGATCTTGATATGGCCTCGACTTCCCGAACTTCCACTTCTCTTTTACCTAAGCCCTCTCTTAGAAATAATAACTTAGCCTCTAACTCTACCTCGACTTCTAACATAGAAGACCAGATCCGTGACTGTCGTATGAGGTCTCGTATAACATATGAACTTCAAAGAAAGATGCCAAGAAGGCGATCTTATCAACGTACTCTGGAAAGCCAATTTGATCCAGAACAACAACTACAAATTTCCCAGAGAAAGCGTGCTAATCTGGTTCCCGCAGAGACTTTGTATGAAGATGGTTGGTCCTCTACCAGGCATCGAGTATATCATCAGTACTCCGAGGAATGTATCCTCGCTGTAGAGGGTACACAAGTAAATCCACCTTTCATTAAACAACAATCATATCAACGTCTTGTTCAAGAAGGTATGCAATACATACATCTCGGGCTAATCATGGTCCATATACATACGCTTCATAGAAGAGATGTTGGTACTACGACTTTAGTCGTTCTATGTGATACAAGATGACGCTCTGACGTCTCAATTATTGGAACGATGAAGGTAGATCAGTCTCATAGAACATAGCTCGTGTATATAACTCTGAATATGCTTCTTTCTGTACATGATTTTCTTAATTATATCGAGCTCGTGGTATTAACGCATGGATATCAGGACTGACAGGGAGGAGAATCAAACCTCCTTATTGCACATGCACTTGTAGCAAGGCTTACCAGTACAAGTCATGCCAGTTTCAAATATAATGTCCATGGTATAGTGGACTATCTAGCCACTCACGGAATTACTGCAATTCCAGGACAAAAAACATACAATTGATCAATTACAAGGGCTAGATTGGAATTTAAAGTCTTCAGATTCTATTGGTGTAAGAATTCCTCAACAATTCTTCTATCTTTCTCTGATTACGCTACTATTGCGACGCCACCAATTCCTCATCATTCATCCAATGATGTGGAAGGATCTGAGAAAGAAACAGCTTTCATGGCTTTTGAAGATGGTCCCATATGGGATCAAAAAGATGATAAAGATGATGGTCCTGTATGGGACCAATCATCATAAATTTATGAAAGTGACAGAGAAGATGATGACTCATCATTTTCTTTATTTCTTTATATGAATTTTATAAATAATGAATAAAATTCATTCCCGGAAGGTGGTGGGAATGGTCCTTCTCATTCTTTTGATCATTATTCTTTTGATTACCCAACTTTGTCTCTAGAAATTTATAGTGGCACAACATGATGTTGCACCCGTATCTAAGATAATAAACCGCTCAACCCCTGGAATTTCAAAAGTTATAATCATATTATATAACCTGTTAATTACTCGCTTAGGGGGTTTCTGTACTTGCTCCTTGAGGAATTCGCGGATTTCTTCCATAAACCTTCAAGCATCTCGTCTATGAAGCAATACAAAATTCAGATCAGGATTAGTGAGCACGTTGTTTTAATCAATCTTAATATTACGGGGCTGTTAATATAAAGGTTTATATACCTTTATAGGCATTGAAAAGCGGCTTTATAATTTTATCATTATATTGAACCTTTATTGCAAGCCACTACTACAAGTCGACTCAAAATTTAATCCATAATTAGTTTATTAAATTATAAGCATTGAAATTCTTTCTTTAAAGATATTGGCTTACATGATAAAATTAAACATGTAGAATTCAATCATTTTTAAGTCTTAAAAATTGTTTTATCTAATTTAGAAAGAGGATAATACTAAATCCAATTACATTAAATGATAAAAGTACTTCAATTAGTCCAAAAATGCTAAAATAATAAAAAATGCTAAAGCGATTCTTAAATATTCTTGATGCATGTCTTGCATTAATGCAGGCTTCATGCACTTTATATACCTTTATTTTTTTCTAATTCTTCACTGGTATCAAATTATCCACCTTCACTCTGCTCCAGTTTTGCTGTTGCAGTGGACAATTTTTTTTCTATTTTCCATGCCACAATCAATTTTCCGCCATCATTATATTTAGTTGACTTGTAAAAGGTTACTTTTAAATATAGTGCAGGGAATCCGTAGCTGTTCAATTTTTTAGAACCTAACAAATTGATGTTCAATCTTAAAAATTTTTATTGCATTTTTAGTCATTTATTGGTATTCTTTTTATCTTGCAGGAATGTTTCCATGCTTGTGCTTCAGGCTGTGGTTTCAAGGTCAGTAGTTTTTGGAGCACATCAATTGTTTTTTATTGAGCTGTGTACATTTTATCTGCTGGAATTTCTGTTAAATGATTTCAATTCCATGCAGTTATACAACTTTCTACTAAACTAATTAAGTTATAAAGAAAAAGGGGTTTGTAACTTTGAGATTGGCATTTAAAAGTAGTTGTTCCGCATAATGATTCATTATAGTTTAAACTATTCAACCCTTTCTTTAATTTGTATAGAAAATTTGATTGTGATTGGTTTTATGATTGATGCTCTCATGTTGTATGTAGCTTATTATTGAAGCTTTATAATGATATTTCTGATTTTTTGTCTTTGTTGTTGGAATGCTATGGCTTTGGCATCAAATTGGTGATGAACCTTTGATGATCTTTTCATTTAAAATTTTTCTTCTTTGTTTTTTCAGGTCAGCCTTATTTTCTAATCTTTTGCTTGAAATTATTCTTAATGGAGAAAATGATGGATTAGAGATGTTGGGTGAGGAATTAGGAGAAATTGTCTGCTAGTTTGAAAGTAAGCGTCGGTTCTTTGGATTTGCAAATTGATTGCTTCGCTGCTTGGGAGAAGTCATGAGAGGATTTTTTCATGGTGTGCATTTTGCATTAATATAAAAATAAAAGGTTACAAAAAGGGGCTAAAAAGCCACGACAAAAAGTAAAAATCATAAAGAAGCTACTAAGTAGTAGACCTACAAAAATTTCTATCCCTTTCTACAAAAAATGACAATGGATGACTATCATGTAAGCTTTTAATAACAAAATATCCTGTAAGGCAAACTGTGCACAAAATGAGCCACCTCATTGTTAGATCTGGGGATGAAAGAAATCAACACCTGTTTAAACGAAGTGAAGAAATCAAACTCTTTGCAATTTTGAGGCTCTTCTTCCAAGCCTTCGAAGAGGTGGATCACTGAAGGAAAGATATCACATTTACATTATCACTTTCAATAGCTATGCTGTTGACTTCACACATCCAAGGATCGGGATATCGATCTAAAGAAGTGGTGGCCAAAAGCTCGACCTGAGCACTATCCCATCGTTCAACATCCTTGCAATCCACCATAATAAAGTCCCCATTTTCATCTCTGATCACAAAACCCACACTACCTTTGTAAAAAGGAAGAAGAGCCCCATCAACATATATCTTCAGCCAACAGGCGGGAGACGGGAGGTGGGGTGTGGGGTGCTGAAGGGAAATGAAGAAGATAAAATTTCCTGCTAGGTAGTCGCTAAAATAGGAGTACCATGCATCTTGCCGTGTTTCTTGGCGTTCCTGTCCCGCCAGCATTGGTAGAAGTAGGAATTGATTTGAATTTTTACTCGTGGAAGGATATTGAAGTTACGTGTGTTGAGTGCTTCTATATAGAAATAATGTTAAATGATTAAATATATTAGCTTAAAATTTATTTTAATGAAACATCTAAAAGATAAATCCTAACACAATTATAAAAAATAATTCCTTAGCTATTTTGTTGACAATCAAATGAAAAAAAATGAAAAACAATACTATAAATAATCTAAAAAATACTAGATAATCACTAAAACATTCGAATAATCTAAATATTGATGATGCATGCCATGTACTGTATGTCATAGTCAATGACACATTTATACATATTTGAAAATGCATCTCTTATACTCAATAACAGACAATTATATTATTTTGAAAATGCCCTTCCTGATGTTCTTCCTGTACAAATGCTTCTTAATGTCAGTGTTACACAAGCATTGAGATTGAAATCTTACCCGCACCTAGGGAATATCAATTATTTTTACTGATATATAACACAGGAAAACGTAATTATTTCCATCTAATTTGGACTGGCTTGCATTGATGTGTGAAGATATCGTCAATAACAAAAGCTTTACTCTGCGCTTTGTTGTAATCAAAGGTGGTTATGCTAATGAGTTTGGAAGAGACTGTTAAATTTTTTTAAAAAAAAGTGGTTTGTTTTGTCAATGTAAGTTGAGATTGGAAGTGTTTTTTAGGCTACATTTAGACAGGAGAGAATACGTTGAACAAATTGGAAAGGAAAACACATGTACTTGTTCTTTTCATATAATTCCTCGCATTCAATGTATATATTAGGTCCGTGCACTACACTTAGAGCTACGTGCGGGTATATCAGGCTAGATTTGGATAGGAGATTATACATTGGACAAAGATGGAGTTAGGCTAGATTTAGGTAGGAGACAAATACATTGGACAACTGTGGAGAGAAACGCATGCTTTTGTTTCTTTTGCATAATTACCCTCATTCAAAGGATTTATTAGTTTCGGACACCACATGTAGGTCTATGTGTGAATATATTTGAGTACACAGATATCTGTTTTTCTCGGCTGTCTAGTCAAATTTATTGGAGTTGAGTGCTGTACACTCTAATATATCCGCATGTAACTCTACATGGTGTCTGAACCTAATAATTTTTTCGTTCGAAGAGTTATCTTTTGAGCATTCTAGACTTATGTAAATTTGCATGCATCTTATTTTTTATTGTTAAATATAGCTGACAAGTGAGCACGTTGTTTTAATGAATGATACCTATCTTATCAAGATCATTTAGGGGTTGTCTGGCAAAGGATTTAGGTTCTGTTGGGCAACAGATAATCTAAAGCCTCTTCCACAAACTATTTTGATTCAATGTCAAAATATAATGTTGAGAATTGGACCTTATTTAGGGTTCTATTGGTAAAAATGGAATATTGAAGAAGTCTAGGTTTTTTATTTGTAAAATATTGTAATACTCTATTTAAGCCCATGTTATGCATGTACAAAATAGGTTTTGAACAATTCTTTCATCATGATATCAAAGCCCTAATCCTAATAGTTGTCTGTGGTGCTCGATAGTCAGAATTGGGAACCCGAAATAGTGGCGATTGAAGTTACCTCGGATGCTAACGACGGGATCACTTGTAGGTTTGCGATAGTGATACAATCACGATTGGAGCTACCTTGGTGCTAAAGGTTTGCAACCTAGAATGGCATGAATGGAAATGGGAAGGAAGCAATGGGATCGTGTAGGTTTGCGATAGTGATACGGCCGCGATTCCTGGGACTTTAAAGGATCACTATGCAGTTGTGATTGGAACGCCACAACTGAAACCGGGAAGTCAACGACAGGTTTGTGACTTCGAGCTTCACGATACAGTTCAGTTTAATAGTAGATCCTCGGAAGAGTGGATCAATATGGATTTTTGCTTGCATGTGGAGGAAAATTTCTCAAATGCTTTGTGTGGCAATACAACCGACAGTAGGATTCAGGTGTTGCAAAGTCTGTAGACAAAGAAACAGAAGCTTCAATGCATGACTGACGCGGGGCTTGGGGGGCCTGACTGAACCGACCAATTGGACTGAACCGACCAATTGGTGCAGCAGGGAGTGTTCCAGTCTAGCAAGAGGCTAGACTTGTTCGTTTCCTGCTTCTAGAGGGGCGAGAAGTACCTCCAAAGGTTTCCTGTGCCTTTTCATTTGCCGCTTCTTCTCCCTTCCTTTTCTGGTTACCGGCCAAAAGGAAGCCTCTCTTTCCTATTTTATCTCCTAGCTATTCTATAGTTGTCGTTTTGCTTGCTTAGGTTTAGCTTTTATTAATTCTGGATTTCAAATTTTTGTCCAAGCCAATTGTCGAGGCTGTTTTCCCTTCCAAGGTTGTATATGAAAGCGAGGAGATGTCCCGGTTGTAACTCGCCCAAGGTGGTAATATTCTCCAACGGTTTGAGAGGTGCTCCTGTTGTGACTTGATATCGCGGAGATACTTATCATACCCAACTCCCCTCCATAGCCCCCATTCCCCCGTTTCCCTGCCGCAAACCCTTTTCTCCACTTCCTGCTGCTGTCGTCCTTCCTACAGCACCCACACCTACACCGACAAGTTATCCCCTCCCTTCTAGACCACTGCTGCAAGTCCTCCTGCCTCCCAGCCCACTGCCGCCGCCCCCTTCCCTACTGTCACCTCTCATCACTGTCGCCTAGTGCTGCAGCCATATTATTCTAGGCCTGCAATTGCGCCCGCGAACCCCAACCAATCCCACTACTTGCCCAGCCGCCATTCCTCACCTTCGCCATCGCCCTAGGTTGTCTCTTTATGTTGTATGCTGTTATTTTCTGATTTTTGAGAGTCTTTATTTGTTACCATTTCTAATTTTTGCAATAATATTTGTATTTCTGTTATTGTTTGGGTTAACTAAGACATCATAGGATAGTGCTAAGCCAAGTGATGATATTAGAACTAGAATTTCTTTATATTTTGAAGTTGAGCGCACAACAGCACAATACGGCGAAGCGATGAGATCTGCATTCTTAGTTTATAGTTTGCTCTTCTCAGGGAAGCGGCGCGCAAGGTATTACATCTCTTCACTTCACCACTAAAGCACACTTTAATAACCTTGATATTAAGGAAGGTATTATTTTATTTTTCATGGGAAATATGCTATTGTACCTTCGGAAAAGTTGGTCTTTTTGGGTATGCCTGATTATTGTCCTATGAATTTTCTTGCGTTGAATGACGAAAGCTATGAGGTTTCTTCTTGATATCAATGTTATTTGGGCAAAATCATTTATTAAAACTTAAAAGAATATGCACTAGGTGATTATCCTAAGAATCTTGAAAGCTTTTAAAAAATTTTCATGAAGTTAATTGGTATATTGAGGACATAATCATTTGAGGGTCTGAAAATTTTCAAATGCTAACTATATTGGATTTTTTGAGAATTGAAAATTTGCTCCAGGGTATTGTATTTATTGGCGGAAATCTCATTTCCTAAAAGGGAAATTTACATATCTTACACACAATCCTTATGTATTTACATGCATCACACCTAAACTTTCATACCTGCATATATAGCACTTAGGTGCTTTAAACCTATGCATGAAAATGTGTATTTCACTTTTAAAAAGGGGTAATAGTGTTATTTTATGTGATATTAAATATTTGAGTGCTATGTGTGTAAATATGAAAGTTTAGGTGTGAGATATGTAAATACATTATAAT